GGAAATCAGTATCAGTAGGAAAATGGTGTTGGGGAAATTGAAGAGATCAAAGGCTGATAAATCCCCAGGGCCTAATAATTTAAATCCCAAAGTAATTAAAGAAGTGACCCTAGAAATAGTGGATGTATTATTGGTTATCTTTCAAGATTCTATTGACTGGGACTGGAAGAGTTCCTATGGCTTGGAGGGCAGCTAATGTAAAACCCCACTATTTAAAGACGGTGGAGAGAAAATGGGGAATTATAGACCAGTTAGCCTGCCGTCAGTAGTGTAGAATATGCTACAGTTGATTATAAAAGATTTAATAGCAGAGCGCTTGGGAAAACAGAGACAGAATCAGCATAGATTTACAAAAGGGAAATCTGGAATTTTTAGAGGATATAATTAGTAGAGTTGATAAAGGAAGCCAGTGTATATGGTTTGCTTGAACTTTCAGAAGGCTTTTGATAAGGTCCCACATAAGAAATTAGCATGTAAAGTTAAAGTGCTTGGGATTGAGGATTGTGGACTGACATGGTTAGAGAACTGATTGGCAGATGGGAAACAAAAAGTAGGAATAAATTGGGCATGGCAGGCAATGACGAGTAGTGTACCACAAAGATAAGTCTTTAGATCCCAGCTATTCACCGTAAATATGTTGTAAACCTGTAATGACTTAGATAATGGAATTGAATGCAATGTCTCCAAGTTTGCAGATGACGCAAAGCTGGGTGGAAGGGTAAACTGTGAGAAGGATGCAGAAATGCTTCAGAGTGACTTGAACAAATTGAGTGAGTGGGCATTACAGCTGAAATTTAGTGTGGATGAATGTGAAGTTATCCACCTTTTGTAGTAAAAACAGGAAGACAAATTGTTGTCTAAACAATGATAGATTGAGAAAGGGGGAGCTGCAGTGAAATTTGAGCAGGTGGTGAAGAAGAATGGTATGTTGGCCTTTGTAGCAAGAGGATTCAAGTATGGGAGCAGGGATGTCTTGCTGCAATTGTACAGGGCCTTGGTGAGTGCACACCTGGAATATTATGTGCTGTTTTGGTTGCCTTATCTAAGGAAGGATGTTATGGCTGTGGAGGAGTGCAGCAAAGGTTTACCAGGACTGATGTATGAAGAGAGACCTGATTGGCTAGGACTATATTCACTGGAGTTTAGAAGGATGAGGGGGATTCTTGTAGAAACCTATAAAATTATAATTGGACTAGACCAGGTAAATGCAGGAAGAACGTTCTCGATGACCAGGCCTAAGATATGGAGAAATTTCTTCACCCAGAGAGCGGTGAGCCTGTGGAATTCTTTGCCACAGAAAGCAGTTTAGGCCAAAAGAATGATTGTTTTCAAGAAGGAGATAGATATAATTCTTGGGGGTAAAGGGATCAAAAGGTGTGGGGAGAAAGCGGGAACAGGGTACTGACTTGGATGATCAGCGATGATTGTTCTGAATGGCAGAAAAGGCTGAAAAGGCCAAACGGCCTACTCCTGCTCCTGTTTTGTATGTTTCTGTGACTGGAATTTTGAAGAGACTGCCAAAAATGAATGTTTCAGGTTGCAAACGTGCATTATAGAAATTTGACTACAATGCACTTTTGATGTAGTTTTTGTTCTGTTGGGTTTTGTTTTTCAGGTTTATGTTGAAACACTCACTGTGCCTGAAAAACAACCATTGAAACTATGTATTGCTGTATTTATGTGGGATTGGTTATGTGAAAATGCTTCTTAAACTAGATGCCTGTTTTAGTTTCAGACTGGCAAGTCAAATTTCTGAGTAGAAATTGCTAGGAAATTTCTAAAATGTAAACTGAGTGGGTAAAATGAGATTTTTTAATGTAAATAATTTTCCAATTATGCTTCAGCATGTGGAGATATTAAAGTTGGCAATGAATTTGTATAATGACACATTCAATCCACCTTCCCTGCACACCCTTTATAGCATTAGCAAATGTACTTCACCATTGAATGCATACAATGTAATTTGTTTTCAGTCACAGTAGCAGAAAGTTCTGAATGGGAGATAACCAGGTGTAGAGCTGGATGAACACAGCAGACCAAGCAGCATCAGAGGAGCAGGAACGCTGACGTTTCGGGCCTAGACCCTTCCGAATGGGGTTGGTTTAGTTATTAAGATTTGGCATTGCGGGACAAGAGATTTTTTTGCCATGTGACTGATGTGCCCCTGTTACTTCCAGTTATTATATATGATTCGTTAGGAAGGTGCAAACAGAGATTAAGGGCTTTAGCACTGGGAGGTTGCACAGTCCACGGGTAAATTGGTGATGGTGAAGTGGCCAATTTATTTGATCATATTGGTGAAATTCTAGGGAATTCTCGTCCTCCTCCTTCTGGTTGGTGAAGGAAAGGAAGATAAAATACCTCTTAAACTAGAAACAGGGCTCCTTGTACAACACAATGAATATTGTCTTTTAGTTTTGGATTAAAACAGAGAAACTTGCTGATTTCTTATAGTTTAGTGAGCGATACAGGAAATACTTAAAATTTTCGCTGGTGTTGCCATTTCTGATTTTACATTACAGTACATTACAGAAGCTGAAATAGCATTATTGTTGGACACAACGTTATACTAACTTGAAGGACATCACTTTACCAGTTGTAACCTGAAAATTACGCAAACTGAAAATTATTCTGCGGTGCCTGCTTGTAATTGTTCTTTGCCGTTTAGCATTTATTCATTGATGAGCTAATGTCTCATGTATGAATATTTAGTACATCTTTTGTTGCCCATTGTGCATGTCAAAATGACAGTTCAGAGTTCTGAAGAAAGTTGCACCATGTTTAGAGTTTGTCCATGCATGGTCTTTCTGGAGTTCTGTTTGAAACTTCAACCGTTTGACTGTGAATTTCTCATGCCTTGAGTTTTGGGAACATGTGTAGAGGACAGGAATGCAAAAGCTGTATTGCTGGATTGTGTAGATAGACTGAGATCTCAGCCTTTCCACAATTTGAAACAATGGTGGCAAACCATTTTGAGTCTGTTCCGTTGTCCTATTTTACAATGGTAGCCCATTAATAATAGTCTGCATTGAAATTATTGTAATTTGAAAGAAAACAGGTTTGCAAATAAGCTTAAATAACAAGGTGTAGAGCTGGATGAACACTGCAGGCCAAGCAGCATCAGAGGAGCAGGAAAGCTGATGTTTCGGGTCATGACCCTTCTTCAGAAATGGGGGAGGGGAAGGGGATTCTGAAATAAATAGAGAGAGAGGGGGAGGCGGATGGCAGATGGATAAAGGACCAGAGGGTTGCAGTGGGAGAGAGATCCACTGAGATCTTTCCGGGGGGAGAAGGGTAACTTCTTCAAGCTAGGCATCCTTAGAAGAGGCTCCCACTGCAACCCTCTGGTCCTTTATCCATCTTCCATCCGCCTCCCCCCCTCTCTCTATTTATTTCAGAATCCCCTTCCCTTCCCCCATTTCTGAAGAAGAGTCCAGACCCGAAATGTCAGCTTTCCTGCTCCTCTGATGCTGCTTGGCCTGCTGTGTTCATCCAGCTCTACACCTTGTTATCTCAGATTCTCCAGCATCAGCAGTTCCGACTATCTCTGCAAATAAGCTTGTTGCATTAGATTTACTGGAACATCTACCATATGTTTCTAAATTTTGTGGCTTCTCTGGCTGTTTTACTCAATTTCTGTTAACAAGCTCAAAACAGTATTGTTGGAAGTCTTGATGCGATTTATCCAGCTGTCCCTTGCCAATACCTTTGCTCCCACCCGGGTCTGCACAATTTGGTGAAAGGTTGACCCTGCCTTTGAGAAATTATGTTCCAACGTACCAAGTAACTTTTCTTTGCGTCAGCTTGCCTTTTCATAGTGTGTATACTTTGTGGTCAGTGACTTGCATTTGTGGGCTTAGTGCCCTGTGTAATGGAATTTACTTTGTCTTAGATTCTGAGAAATGCGGTCATCTGCATTGGGTAGTCAAGCTAAAAGACACAGTCTTTAATTTTTTTAGTGTACAGTTATAACCTACTCAGCCAAACTCAGCCAATCTCTTAGATTATGCCAGTACCTTTTTCTGAATACATTCTCATATCACTACTTATATAATAGTGCTTTTAGTCTGAGAGGCACTGTACAATTCTGTTACAGTTGTCTCTGATTTTAGCTAGTTGTCATTATTTTGGTTATTTAAGTGATTTTTCTCTTTGGGTGTCAACTTTTGCTCAATGGTAACATTCTCACCCCTGAACCAGAGATTGATTATTCAAGTTCCATTCCAGAGAATTGAACATGTAATCCAGGCTGATAGTTCAGTGTAGTATCAAGGGAGTGGTGCTTTAATATTTATAATGTCTTCTGCTTTAATACCCTCTAAAAACACTGTAATCCTCCTAGTTGAAGCCTCTTTAGCATGTATGCTCCTTTCAGTCCACGTCAGCAACCATTACCTACTGCCTCAAATTTTTAAAATCTTTGATAATATTATCATAAAGCCTCTGTTCCCGGGATTTTGTAACTCTTCTTGCCCTGCAGTCTTCCTGAACATTCTTGCTCTGACTCTAGTAGATTTTACATTTCAATCTCTGCTTCCCACAGGCAACCCCCCCTACCCCTCCCCCAAACAAATGCATTATTCCCACCTTTGGCAACTGTGCTTTCAGCTGACCAAATCTCTTTGTATGGAATTTGCATCCTAACCCTTGCCTATCCATGTTACTCTTTGTCCTTTGAAATTGCTCTTTGAAACGTATCTGTTCAGCTGAACATTTGATCAGCCTTCCCAATCCTGCTCGTTTGAATTGTTGTAATTATAATTTGGCTCTTGTAAGTCCTTTGTGACTTGTTTCTTACATTTTAAGGTTAAGGGAAATGTGTACTTTTTACATTGTTTCTGCTAAAAAATTCCAGCTTGAGATTCATTAATCGAGAGCATGTTAGTATAAGTCTACCAGCTCCTGTAAAATTGGACACTCTCCTGCATGAGTAAAAAACTGATTTTTCTTTTACAGTTTTCTGTACACCATGTTTTATGAAACAGGTTTGATGGTATTAAGTTAATGTTCCAGTTACTTTATTTTTAATATGTCTGAACTTATTATGACCTGTTTCCCCAGCAGGTGGTACTTGAACCTTGACCTTCTGGCTTGGAGTTGGGGGCACTACCTCTACGCCACAACACTCTCTGATTTACAGTCACTTTTTAAAACACTCAACAAATGAATCCTATTATAGCCCTTTGGTACTGATTAATAAAACTGATGCACAAGACCTCTTTATTTTAGTGCTATAGCTGACATATGAAATTATTTGCTATATGTTATCCTGCATATTGTCACATGTTCAGATCCGTTTTCCTCCCTTCCCTTACGCAGCTGGTACAGATTTCTGTTTGGGAATGCTTGTGAACTTCCCAGAAGGGCTGGTTTGTCTGGGTTTCTATTCTTTTTGGTGGGAATGTTTCCAGTTTCTGGTCTGTACTTCTTCCTGATGGTTTGGCTGAGCTTAGAACATTAACATATGAAGAGACAAACGCAACCTCTTCAGCAGATTCTCAAGCAAACAGTTACTGAGAAAGTTTTATTGATTTTTAAATATTCTCTGCTTAATATGGATTCTGCTTCATAATATACAGCTTTAGAAACTTGTTTTAACTTTAAATTACTGAAAATATTACATAACTCAAATTAAGACCCTTCTTCAGGCGGTTGAGATCTCTGAAGAAGTCACTGAACTCAATGTTAATTCTGCTTTCTCTCCACAGATGCTGCTGGACCTGCTGAGTTTCTCCAGCAGTTTCTGTTTTTGATTCAGACCTTGAGCAACTGCAGTTATTTGTTTTATTTCAGTAATTCAGAGAACTGCCTAATGCTCCAGAAACATGAGTATAGATCCTACTATGGTAGCTGGATAATTAATAAGCCTAATGATATGGAACTATTGGATCAACAACAAAACCCATCTGGTTTGCTAATATCCTTCAGGGAGGAAAATCTACTGCCCTTGCCTGGTGTGACCCTACATTCAAGAGGGCATTGGATGATTGTTTGGATAAAAATAACTTCTAAAGGTATGGGAGAAAGCAGGAAAATGGCACTTGGTAATTATTCTCACTTAACGAATCAGTGCAATTATAATGGGTTAAACAGCCTCCTCCTGCACCTTACCACTTCTGTAACACATGTGACTCCATATTCTCAGAAAAGCAACTGAATTGTGTCAAACCACTACAGAAAAGTTAGGGTTTTTTTTTCAGAAATGGACCGTACAGCAAAAACCTACATGTCAGAAATAACAAAAGTACACCCTGTCTGTTCTGATCCTGCAAAATCTTCACTAACTTTTGGGCATTGATACCAACATTGGGAGAGCTGAATGTTGACACTAGATCCCATGAAGGTCGGTAGCAATAGGTAAAAACATCAATGAAAAACAACGTTGCCTACCATCCTTTCTCAGTTGATTATTCAGAGCTCCTTCTTGTTGAACAAACTAGGAAGAAGCACAGAGTGTAGCAAGATAAGAATGTACTCTGTGTGGGAACATCAGTGCAGGTAACACCACTCTGGATTGAGCTGGGAGACTCCTGAAGAGCATTACTACCAGACTGGGCTGCAGCAGATGGTTAGAGAACAGTGAGGTAAAATCTACTTGAAGTTATTCTCATCAATCTAGATGCACCTCTCCATGATGGTTTTACTAGGAGTGACCACCACACAGTCCTTGCAGAGATGAAATCAGTCTTCAATATGTGGTGTATTGGTACCACTGTGCAATTGTGTGTAGACTGAAAAGGTGTAGTAGTTCAACAAAGGACAGCCGTAAGGTACTGCAGGCCACCTGGTATCTGCACCTTCCTAACTAGACATATCCCTCATTCTACCATTTATTTCAAATCAAGGGAACAACTTGAATTTAACAGGACTCAGAGAGCTTTTCTAACTGCATTTATTCATGGGACATAGGTGTCCCTGCCTAGGTCAACATTTATGCCTATCTGTAGGCACTTTTTGATAAAGTTGTTGTAAGTTGCCTTCTTGAACAACTGCTGTCCTTGGGGCGTAGGGACACCCAAAATGCTGTTACAAAGGGAGTTCCAGGACTTTGACTTGCGACAATGGTAATATAGTTTCGAGCTGGAATAGTGTGCATTTTGGAGGAGTCTTGATAGGTGATGGTGCTCTTGTGCATCTCCTGCAATGTCTTTGGTTTGGAAGGAGCTGTCAAAGGAAGACATGCCAGAAGTAGTGCCAGGCATATCCAAAATTGCTGTGTCAACCTCGTGCACCTATTACCCAGGAATACAAGTGTGCTAATTAGCAGAAGCATCATGCCATAGACATAGGTAAGCCATTTCACAACTAACTGATCTGATCAAAATTCTGCACGCCTGCCATGTCTAGGATGGTGCTGAGTACTTAAACTGAGCCCAGGAAGTGGCTTTAAAAATGGCTCCATCCTCCCTGATGGGAATCCCAGCACATCAGCGTAAAAGATGAAACTGAAGCATTTGCAACTACCTTCAGCCATAAGTTCATCTCTGCCACCTTCTGATGTCCTTACTGTCGTAGATGCTAGTCTTGACA